TTTGTTTCAGCATAAATGAAATATATTTTACATATGAAATGAATAAAATGAATGAACCAAAGACTGGTAAGTAGGATTGGTGAATATAATATAATATATCCTGCCATTTTGTGACGTGACATAAGAATACACGTATCAGTGGCATCTGAACAGATGTGATGACGATATGATTTTATTACAATTCTTTTTTGGCAAATATTTATTTTGTTATTTTTGGTTTATAATTTGCCATTGTTCCAATAAAAAAATGTCAATTTAACCTCAGAAAAATATGAGATAACGGAAATATGATTTTTTAAACTGGTGAGCACAAATATTACGATTTATACAGGTTCATAATATGATGGCTTTCCACATTCTATCACATAATTCAGGCAATTTCAAGAATATTTCCTACCGTATGTTTGAAAAATCAGGATATTTGTCATACAGTGTTACAGTAACAAGATGAAGGGAGATAACGCTACACCATGAAAAAGAGGAAAGAAGAGAGATGATAGTGATTTTAAGGGGGGGGGCACCCATTTTGTTCTGGGGAGGTAGGGAGGGTCATCAATTTCGTACATGTGTACTGGGGGTAGGGTGAGAAGAATATTTTAAAATTATGCTTAAGAAATATGGGATGGGGTCATTGATTTTGTACATGACATGAAAGGGGGTCATTCACATTGTACATGCTTCTCCATAAAAATCAGCACTCCCATCACAGCCATGAATTACGAACGGTCCCTAGTCCCCAGGTAGTGTATCGTTGATTGTCCAACACATGCGTGAGGGACAGACAGCCTCCCATGGACAGAAAGCTACACACATGCTGCAACTACCATATTTCCCCTATTAGATGACCAGGCACCTATCAAGTTTACACAGGCTGTTTACCCAGTGACTTATTATAGCATGTTTAATGCTGGCAAGTCCCAAATTCTACAGTCATACAAGTGTACATTTACATAAAACAGTCATTGTTCATCACCAAAAATTGACATTATGAAAATATGAAAGTTTCACAGGAATGTTGCAATGTATACTGTTCAACTTTTTGTAAGGATAGTCAAATGTCATTATATTCAAATGTACACTTGGCATATTATGATAACCATTTTGGTGTATAAACATAACAAATATCCCTAGAAAGTGGAGTAGTATATTATAAATATACACAGAATGCAAAAATATATCAGGGATGGAAATTAATGCTCATATATTGGCCCAATTTAAGCAGAAATTGCTCCAGGCTAATAAAATCATAATTTGGGCCGGCAATTTTGCCTTATTTTCTGTATATTATCTGTCATCCTCTCGTTATTACCTGCCAAACCTCTGATATTTGGCATAACCGTTCAGTTTTTAAAGACTAAAGTTTTGGATTCTTCTGATACTCACACAGCTGGTAACTTAGGGCTATGCCAGCAGATATCACAAACACTGTCCGCATGTTCGCTTTTCCAGTTAATTTCCATTCCTGTTACATCGCAACAACTGCCTGGAATTTTGAGTTTCATATTTCACAAGTGGGATATACAGAACTTTACAAGTGGAATGGTTTTATACACAACAAGAACGAAGGTCGAGTAGTATATACCAACAATCAGCTCATACAATCCTGTACGTTTGGATGTACATTTAATGAAGTCATCATTACAAGTTCATTTTATTTTTGTGTGACATTTAATCTACCTTGTGACCTTCAGAAAACAACATGGTGGCTTGTAGTGGGAACAGGGTCATCTGTGACGGCACGGCATGCCAAACATTATGACTGACTGACTGAGTTTGGTTTTACGCCGCTTTTAGCAATATTCCAGCAACATCACAGCAGGGGACACCAGAAATGGGCTTCACACATTGTACCCATGTGGGGATTCAAACCCGGGTCCTCGGCGTGACGAGCCAACGCTTTATCCACTAGGCTACCTCACCACCCCCCAAACATTATGACATCATTATAGCAATGATGTTTATAAGACAGTGACTGGCCAATCAGATAACTGAAATTCTTCAAAAGGTAATAAAAAGGTTTGGTGTTATCATTTCATTTCAGGGAAAAGCTCACAAGTTCAGTGCTTGGTCCAAAACTTAATTCTAAAACTGTTGATAGTTGAGTGGCTATTCTTGTCACACATCTTTGTGTTTTGCCTTACTGCTTCAGAATGTTTATCCACTGAAGTTCAGTTGTTTAAAACATTTTGGGCAAGGTGGAAACCTTGCAGGGCTATAAACCCACCCACAACCCAGAGTAAGGTAACCCTGAGTAACAGAACCATGACACAGTAAAATGGAAAGAGCAATAAGGTGAAAATCATCAAATCATGAACAGCTGTAAATGGTATTAGGAATACGACATCACCAGTTCAATGGTATATTATGAAGACCAGAAGAATGACAACAGGCACTGCCTACTTCTGTTTAAAATAGCTTGGAATTAACCCTGGGAACAGTCTTTTCTTGACTTTGGATTCACCAAACGCCAAATACTTATCACAACCAAGAAACAGTCCCAAGGAGATCAAGGATAAGTGAATGTTTACTCAGGCACTTTTGATGGGTGACGAGATGTTCAGAAAGAAGCTCTGAACACCTTACACTCTTCCGTCTTCCATAAAAACAGAATGACTACCGGTTAGCGACATACCTAATAAGGCGCTAAATGTAAACCTGAATTACGCAACAACCCAAACAAAGCCAGAGAGTATTAAATAGTCTCTGGTCAAGGTACTGCCCTTCCATGTCTCTCCCCTCACACTTCACAGTTTCAAAAGTGTGGACAATACGCATTTAAAACACTGAAAATGACACCATCCTTATATTTAAGACATACGTTTATCCTTTCTATCATAAATATAAATAATGTTCCTTTATCAAAGAAACACTCATTCTTTGACTGAAAACCTGCTTTAGTCACTTTCAGTTATCTGATGATGTGTTAGGAGAGCCCAAAAGTTTTTGATGGCTTCCAGTGTTTTAAAACCCAGGAGCACGGGTACTCTTCTGGGCCCTGTTTCACAAAGCTCTCCTAAGCCTAAGCTCTTGTAAGCCTAAGATCTCGTAACTTTTCTCGTAGCATTCGTACCTTCTATACTGTAACATAGGAAGTACGAATGCTTTGAGAAAAGTTACGAGAGCTCTGTGAAACGCGGGCCCTGTAAGCTAGAAACATACCCTGGGTGAACCAGGATTCATACCAACAATAACTATGTTGGACACCTTAGTGATGCAACTCTGCATGCTGAATAGCGACACCTTAGATGGCAGGGACAATTGTGACCCTACCATGATTTGGTTTGGCATTTTATTTTCTGACACTGTTATTAAGGAGTTTGATAAATGCACATTACTCCAAACTATTTTCCACACAACATGAAAACAAACAATCAATATGAAGAACAGCCAAAACAAAATGGCTGACAGCCATGTCATTTCTAATATAATTACATCTTCACTAAAAAAATTGTTTACAGTTACCACATATATCACGTCATAAAGTTTCCAACTGAAGCAAATAAGTATCATCACATATGTAAACATATCAACGTTAATAATAATGTACAATTGTCTTCCCTTCATTTCAAAATGGCTGCCACAATGGAGATACATGCTAACTTCCCGAAGACTAATTGCTACCTCATCTTCAAGAGTTAACATTTTACAGTTGTCTTCAGAGATAACAATGTAGTTGCCATTACACTCAATTCTTAATTGATCAATAAAATTTATGTGGATTTGGTTTCTTCTGTGTTTGCATGCCTGAGATATGTGACAACTAAACTATAAGTTATTTTTTACATCAGTCAACATTTGTTCAAGGTACTGTCTTTAAATCAGCCCCAAGTCACAGCTGGAGGCCGATTTATCTCAGTAACATTTCCATTTGAACCTGACCTGAATTCTTGTTTACCAGTGAGAAGTGAGAATTCTTCATTGTATGTTGGCTACTGTATGGAAATCTGGCAACAATCTGAATCATTATGGTGTGACCTTTGACCTGGATTAAACAGGAATCCAGTAATGGCAGTAATTATGCGTAATAGCCAATGTTAGAATTATGACATCATTGATACACAACTCCAGAATATCTGACAGATATCTAGACTGTGAGTACGGAACATGATTATGCATTTCACAGTTTTGTAAGGAGCATCACATATAACAGTTGTCATGAAAACACCAGGAACAGTGTTATGCAAGGTAGCATGGTGCATAATCATTTTGTGCACCACTAGATACAGGGGCGGATACAGCTTTTTGAGAAAGGGTGGGTGCCCACTTCATTTTCACGAGAGTTCCAATGGTCATTTAATAAACTTGCATGATAAAAGGTGGGATGGCAATTTTCCGCTGATCCGCAGATTTTATTTCAAATTGTTCAATTGTGAATCGTCTAAATCCATTGAGAAACCCTCAACCCAATGACACAATATTAAGTTATCAGCTGAAAATACATTTTCCTGGTGCCATCCCTGATAAAATAAGATCAACATAAGTCTCTAATCAAAACATATTGCTCCTTCAACCATCTCACTGACTGAATTGAAACATTATCAACAATGATAATAATTCTTAGAATACAAACCTTTAACACTTGATTGCCTTTTCATGGAACCTGTCTCTGAATCCACAGGTTTAGCTTGAATAATTGTTTTAAAGTACATGGTCTTGTCTTACTTCCAAGTGGTCCTAAAAGCACTATCCACCAGAGTTATCTCCCCCCTCCCCCAAAAAGAGCGGGAAACCTCATAATCTTTGGTCATGCTTTACTAAAGTTTGTTGAGGAGACAAGAGAATAGCAGAGATACCTCCTGCGGATAGTGCTTAGAGAACCCCTAAGAAGAAAGACAACACAAACCCATGTACTTTAATCAAGCTGAACCTGTGGATTCAGAAACAAGTTTAAGAAAAAGGGCAATCAAGCGGTTTTTTAGAGGGACGTCTGCGTAAGAATTCACACAAGGCACTACAAACTCCACTCTAGTTATCGGCGTCACCATACTGTGGACATCATTTCACACAACTTGTTCCTATGGCAATGATTCATTACAGTAAATGTGATAACAACAAGCATTAAGGTTAACTCTCCTGCTACCCTGTCACAGGCAGTAAAGAGACTCCCACCTCAAAAAATGTCACAAATGTTCTGGCAGTTTTGGTATGAGGTGAAATAAGTTGCCAGTCATTGTTTTCAAATGTGAAAGCATTCTGACAATGGATCTGACAGGAAAACATACAAATATATGATCAGACAAACTGGAACAGGCAGATTTGAACAGTCCTAGTCTGTTCTGAAATGTGGTTAGGTTGGACTCTTACGTAACCAAATACTATGCAACAGTACAGAGATACGTCTGTACTTGTTGAGTAAAGTGCCTTTACAGTCCCACCACTGTCCAGGGATGTGGGAAGGTTCTACCACATTTCCTGGATGTGAGGTCCCTCCACAGTTCTTGGATGTGAAAATATTCCACAACAATTCAGGAATGTGAAAGATCACAGCACAGTTCTAAGATGTCTATGATATGAGAATGTTCCACCACATCTTCAGGATGTATAACTGTTCCAACAAAATTCTGATATGTGAGAATATTCCACCATGATAATCAGATGTGACACAGTTCTTTGATGTCAGAATATTCCACCACTGTTCAGGGATGTGGGAAGGTTCTACCACATTTCTTGGATGTGAAAATATTCCACAACAATTCAGGAATGTGAAAGATCACAGCACAGTTCTAAGATGTCTATGATATGAGAATGTTCCACCACATCTTCAGGATGTATAACTGTTCCAACAAAATGCTGATATGTGAGAATATTCCACCATGATTATCAGATGTGACACAGTTCTTTGATGTGAGAATATTCCACCACTGTTCAGGGATCTAAGAATGTTACGAAACAATGCTGAGAGGTGTGGACATTATCCAAAGTTTTTCGATGTCAGAATGTTCGACCACAGCTAGAGAAGTGAAAATATCCCCTCCCACATTCAAGAGTTGAGAATGTCCCGGCACAGGTTTGAAATGTGAGAATGTTCCATCACAGGTCCGGGTCATGAGAATGGTCCGGTCATAGTTCCCCAATCTCTACTACTATTGTGTAGGATCCAAGGAAGCACCCAGCTGAAGCCTGGTCCATCAATGAGCAGTGCCTTCCTCTGCACTAGGGTGGGTCTTTATCGCCGTCTGAGATGCTTCTGAAACATACATCAACACAATGTAATCGCAGCTCAACACTGTACATATTGTGTATCCAAGGTTTCAGTTCGATGAAATAATGATTCAACTACTCAGAGTGAGTGAGTGAGTGAGTGAGTTGGATTTCACGCCGCTTTAAGCAATATTCCAGCAATATCACTGGCGGGGACACCAGAAATGGGCTTCACACAATGTACCCATGTGGGGAATCGAACCCGGGTCTTCGGCGTGACGAGCGAACGCTTTAACCACTAGGCTACCCCACCGCCCACTCAACTACTCAGAGTTAGTGATAGTATTAGTGAGCTAGTCAGTGAGGGAGCTAAGTTTAATGCCAGTCAGCAAAATGACCAGTCAATTGTCCAATGTATGTTATCGCCATTCAGGTTTCATGATTACCTTGAATCATTCTCCATTTGTTGTATTTTGACTCCTTCCCTTTTACTACAAATCAACTGATGATTTATACAGGACAGATACAGATCAGATAAGACAATTACCAGCTGGCATGAATAACAAGATACAGATAACTTTTACATACATCTGAGAGTGTAGGCACTAATAAATAACACTAATAACTAATAACTTCATTAGCGTCACTAGAACCCTACGTTCAGTAGCCTACAAGCATCACTGGAACCCTAGCATCAGTAGCCTACAAGCATCACTGGAACCCTAGCATCACTGGAACCCTAGCATCACTGGAACCCTAGCATCACTGGAACCCTAGCATCACTGGAACACTAGCATCACTGGAACCCTACCATCAGTAGCCTACAAGCATCACTGGAACCCTAGCATCACTGGAACCCTAGCATCACTGGAACCCTAGCATCACTGGAACACTAGCATCACTGGAACCCTAGCATCACTGGAACCCTAGCATCACTGGAACCCTAGCATCAGTAGCCTACAAGCATCACTGGAACCCTAGCATCACTGGAACCCTAGCATAGCATCACTGGAACCCTAGCATCACTGGAACCCTAGCATCACTGGAACCCTAGCATCACTGGAACCCATCACTGGATCCCTAGCCTACTAGCATCACTGGAACCCTAGCATCACTGGAACCCTAGCATCACTGGAACCCTAGCATCACTGGAACCCTAGCATCACTGGAACCCTAGCATCACTGGAACCCTAGCATCACTGGAACCCTAGCATCACTGGAACCCTAGCATCACTGGAACCCTAGCATCACTGGAACCCTAGCATCACTGGAACCCTAGCATCACTGGAACTAGCATCAGCATCACTGGAACCCTAGCATCACTGGAACCCTAGCATCACTGGAACCCTAGCATCACTGGAACCCTAGCATCACTGGAACCCTAGCATCACTGGAACCCTAGCATCATCAGCATCAACCCTACAAGCATCATCACTGGAACCCTAGCATCACTGGAACCCTAGCATCACTGGAACCCTAGCATCTCAGCAGCATCACTGGAAGCATCTGGAACCCTAGCATCACTGGAACCCTAGCATCACTGGAACCCTAGCATCACTGGAACCCTAGCATCACTGGAACCCTAGCATCATTGGAACCCTAGCATCACTGGAACTGGAACCCTAGCATCATTGGAACCCTAGCATCACTGGAACCCTAGCATCACTGGAACCCTAGCATCACTGGAACCCTAGCATCATTGGAACCCTAGCATCACTGGAACCCTAGCATCACTGGAACCCTAGCATCACTGGAACCCTAGCATCACTGGAACCCTAGCATCACTGGAACCCTAGCATCACTGGAACCCTAGCATCACTGGAACCCTAGCATCACTGGAACCCTAGCATCACTGGAACCCTAGCATCACTGGAACCCTAGCATCACTGGAACCCTAGCATGGAACACTGCATCACTGGAACCCTAGCATCACTGGAACCCTAGCATCACTGGAACCCTAGCATCACTGGAACCCTAGCATCATCACTAGCATCACTGGAACCCTAGCATCACTGGAACCCTAGCATCACTGGAACCCTAGCATCACTGGAACACTAGCATCACTGGAACACTGGAACCTAGCATCACTGGAACCCTAGCATCACTGAACCCTAGCAACCCTAGCATCACTGGAACCCTAGCATCACTGGAACCCTAGCATCACTGGAACCCATCACTGGAAGCATCACTGGAACCCTAGCATCATTGGAACCCTAGCATCACTGGAACCCTAGCATCATTGGAACCCTAGCATCACTGGAACCCATCAGCATCACTGGAACCCTAGCATCACTGGAGCATCACTGGAACCCTAGCATCATTGGAACACTAGCATCACTGGAACCCTAGCATCATTGGAACCCTAGCATCACTGGAACCCTAGCATCACTGGAACCCTAGCATCAGCATCTGGAACCCTAGCATCACTGGAACCCTAGCATCATCCTGGAACCCTAGCATCATTGGAACCCTAGCATCACTGGAACCCTAGCATCACTGGAACCCTAGCATCACTGGAACCCTAGCATCATTGGAACACTAGCATCACTGGAACCCTAGCATCATTGGAACCCTAGCATCACTGGAACCCTAGCATCATTGGAACACTAGCATCACTGGAACCCTAGCATCATTGGAACCCTACGATCAGTAGCCTACAAGCATCACTTGAACTCAATGGAACACCACAGGATCCCTGGCATCACTAGAAGCCTAGCATCACTATTCTAGAAGCATGACAGAACCCGTAACATCACTGGTTGCTTCGCATCACTGATCGCTTCACATCACTGGTCTTCCTACTGGTCCTTTAGAATCACATTTTGCTTTGATTACCAAACACCTTGCATCTCTAGACTCATAGGAAAGAGGGACTGGACGTCTCATTATCACAAAGCACACAGAAAGTAAATGTTTCATGGCACAAAGTTGTCAGTAAGTTTGGCACTTCAGATAAGTTACTGATGTAGGACTTAACAATATCCACGTCTGTCAGTCCTGCAATAGCACAATAGTCACTTAAGTACTGAAGGCAGACTGTTACCATGACAACGGGTGTAACCTTAGCAACTACGAGTCTTTATTAACAAAGTGAGTCAGACTAGGGTATTGTGAGCTGTATATGCTTAGCTGGTTTGAATGCACTATACCGGTAATATTCTCCACCACCTGTAAATACATATGGTCAACTTGCAATGAAATCTCCATGTTTAACCAAGAAAATCAAGACAATGGTTCCAATGAAAAGGAAACCAGTCAATGCTGAGGCCAATGGGCACTCAGATATGTCAGCAATATTTCTTGTGCATCATGTTTTTCCCAGCCATAAACCATGTCTACTCTACTTTTAGCTTTACAATATTTAATGGTAGGGATGGCTTCAAATTGAAGACTGGAATAGGACTCATTTGAATTCCATTGCGTTCATTTGCTGATGAAAACAGACACACAAGCATGTGCACGACGCACAAGCAAGGAATGACAGTCAGATAATTAATTACAGGGGCTTTCAATAACCTTCATATTGAGCAGATGATATTAGATTTATAACATGGGCAGCCAAGACTGGAAAAGTAAAGAACTATACTTCAGACTCACCTTTAGTGTACTTGAAAATAGGTGACCCAAGGTCTCTGGGAATGGACACTGAAATAGGAATGTAATGGTAAGTCTCTGCTTGCATCAAACTGAAAGTTTAGGAACTGTCATATGGTCATGTAATTTATTGTTATACAAAGTTGAAATTGTTTTGCACTAATCTTTGTTAAGACTCAGAAGAAGTTGATAGTTATGTGTTTTAACAATAATATATTGTCAGGAATGTCTTGAATTTTAGCAGCGGTATGGAACTTTCAATATTTTGGAATAAAGCACAGTCTAGAATCTTCATGAACAGCTACTGACTAATACTGCAAGCTATGGTATTTCTGGGTTAACTGACTGTTTCCACTGAGTCAAAACGAAACAACAGCACGAAGCAAAAATCGAACAGGTTTTCAGATGATTTACATATATATTCAGGAATTTACCTTGGGGCTCTCAGAGGAAGAAGAAGATCCAAAATTCTGTACAGTATTACCCATTCTTGTATTGTATCATGCACCCTTTTACCATATCATCCATTCTTTACACTATCACCCATGCCTGTAATGTATCATTCATCTATGTACAGAATCACCATCCCTGTACAGTATCACCCATCCTTGTAATGTATCATTCATCTATGTACAGTATCAACCATCAATGTACAGTATCACCCATCCTTGTAATGTATCATTCATCTATGTACAGTATCAACCATCAATGTACAGAATCACCGTCCCTGTACAGTATCACCCATCCTTGTAATGTATCAACCATCAATGTACAGAATCACCGTCCCTGTACAGTAAGACCCATCCTTGTAATGTATCATTCATCTATGTACAGTATCAACCATCAATGTACAGTATCCTACATCGCTGTCTCACATACTAAATTCGCTAAACTTACAATTAGCTTTGACTGTCAACCTCTTGAACACTTGTCGTATCCTTTCCAGGTTGATCCGGCTCACAACAGCATGGTTTACAATTGGTAATGGGTAATCTTTACCCACAATGCACCTTGCTGCTTTCTGCACAGACTCAGGAGCCAACCAAGGCTCATAGATGTATTTTGTTGGAAATGCTTTTAACACAGGTAGGTAGTGCCTGAAGAAGTTAAAAAAAACAATAAATAAACACACATTCCTTAAAACAGCAAGTAACTATTGCTGCATATTGGCAAATAATTGTATTGCAATTCAATGAGAAAGCTGGATCTGAAGTTCCACAAAAACAGTGGCTTCACAAGATAATAAAAAGACCTTCATTCACAAAAAATACATCGCACATACTGCAATAAAAGTATCTCCCTTGTTCACCACACCAACTTCTAAATGTCACTCGAAGAAGTGGAGAATAAAACTCCAGGACTTCGGCGTGATGAGCGAAAAGTTGAACAACTAGGCTACCCCACCGCCCATATGCACAAAACACAAGAGTTGACCATACCTGACAAAATTTCCTGAGGGGTCTGCCCGCTTGCCGAAACCCACAGGACAATAACAATGGAAAAACTGTTGAAAAAAGGAGCTACAGGACAACCACATCCACGTGCCGGCATTGACGCTCCAGTCGGCATCCAGTAGCAATTCGTCAAACACCTATTCAAAGAGACATCAAACAACACTATTACTATTACACAGAGAATGAGAGAGTTAACATTTCAGCTATGGCATGAGCAACAATCTACAACTGAGGATATTGACATAGCTGCCCAATCCTGTAAGTCAGCTAGATTATGGTATACCGTTATTCAAATCAACTAGTCCACAAAGTGTTTCAGACTCCTGGTTTAAGTAACTACTGACGTCTTTGTGAAGAAACAAGAAGTCGTTGGATTTACTCATCTTAAACACAAGCGGTCCTGTCAAACCCTGACTTTGACCCTTTGTCTTCAGAAAGTACTGATGTAAGTGAGTGAGTTAACATTGTTTTGGTCATGTCATCTGACAGCATTACAGAGCAGGTTCACCGGAACCCAAATTTAAAAAAACCCAATGGTACTGAACTAAAGCTAATTTACATACAGTCATTTAAGTCAACAATTCAAAAAGCAAAGACAGCCATTAAACAAATCTTCTGTCAATACTGATGTTCCAATGTGTTCTGTAAAAGTACTGAGAACCAACACAAAAATCTAACGAATTGTACGAAACATGACATTACCACAAGAGGAAACATATCGTCTTAGTTCTGCTCCTTTGGAATGGCAATTTCAACCATTTATAGTCATTTGGAAAAGAATTCAAGAGCATTGAGTGACCATTTGTCACCTGTTATATGTCACCCCTCTGTTTGTGACAAGATCTCACCTTCATTCCCTCCTCCCAGGAGATCCAGAGGTCCCCCCGAGTAAGGAAACATGCGACAGAGTGGCGGGCCAGGTGGTGTATCCATCCCTCCTGCCGAAGCTGCACCATAATAGCATCGATCCAGGGGAAGCCAGTCTGACCCTGGGGAGATACAGAGGTCTCTACAGTTAGGCAATTACTGACGACACACAGTTTTCTACACAGTTAGACGAGTTTCAAGGGAAGAAGCCAAATAGCTGGAATTATACTGAGTGCGGCGTAAAACTAAACTCACTCACTCACTCACTTTAAGGGAAGATACACTGTTCTTTACAATTAGGCGATTACCTTGGGGAGATAAAATGTTCTCTACAGTTAGGCGAATACCTTGGGGAGATAAAGTGTTCTATACAGTTAGGCGAATACCTTGGGGAGATAAAGTGTTCTATACAGTTAGGCATTCACGCTTTGTTGATATTGTGTTCTACACAGTAAGTGATAACACAATCCTAGAACAGGTTCTTTACAACCTTCACATCAGGTAAAAAGTCATTTTGCACAAGACTGTATTTTTTGGTGGAAACATATTATTTTTTCTCCAGAACTACTTCAAAAGTTCAAGGGCCACCACCCTCTGGCTGTGTTTCAGAGATAATCTTGAGTTTTGTTGGCTCTGTATCTGTGTGAAACATGGATTCTTGATCCTAAATACTCAAATTCCCCATCATGTTTTCTGAGGTGAGGTGAGGTGAGGTGAAATTGGGTTTAACGTCGTGCTTGAGAATATTTCGCTCATATGACGACGTGCATGCGTGTGTATGTGTATGTGCGGCTGCTTGTACTAGCCCAGACTGAAGCTGGTTTATAGTGCTAGCCCACTGAGATACCATGCCGCAGTGAAGCATGAATACCCCACTCAGACACATTATACTGACTCCGAGCCGACCAGTCCTTGTTGTACCCATTACTGCCCAGCGCCAGGCAGGGACCAACAAGTACCATATTTTAACGTCTTTTGGTATGACGCGGTCGGGGATCGAACCCACGACCTTCCGCTCTCCGGGCGGACGCTCTAACCACTACACCACGGAGGCGGTCCCCAGACCTCGGAGTATTAAGGATACAGTCTAGACTTGCACAAGTCTCCAAAGTAAAAATTAATAGTTTAAATGATTATTTCTTATAAAAATAAAAATAATAAACTTGGGTCCTTAGATACTGTCCATTTATCCAGTCTTGCCTCTTGAAGGATATAGAACCATGGGTTCAGCATTCAGTACAGCCTCGGTACCTTTTGGTATGAGGTGAATATTGGCCTGGGATCGACTTCGCAAATTGACCTTCCAGCTATATATTTAATTCTCATAAAGTTTGAGACCTCTTTAGAAGCACTCCTTTCATCAAGTTAGACCGCCCGTCAAGGATGGATCGCCCGTTTTGCATTTGAGACGGTCCCGCTAAACTAACCACTACACCATTCTACAACTAATGTCTGAAGGCGGTCTCATATTTTCTGAAGCGTTTGCAACATTGTGTATGGATACAGTATGGAAAAGTTTCAAAGCTTACAAGCTTGTCTGGTAGTCAAAAATGCAGTGAGGATTGCTAAAACTTATTATTTTTAGATAACATCTGTGACCTCGAGTAATATAAAGGCAAATACAACTATTATATGCACTAGATTCAACAACATAAGCTTTACTAACACTGCACCCACAGCAATATACTGACTTTCATTTTGAAGAACATACGTAATAATCTAGAATTTATTTATTATTATTTTTCCCACCTAAGAAACAAATAATCTGTAAACAAAGAAAATGCTTGCTTGAACTATACCTTCAAATGAAGGGCAGATAACTCTTTCTCTTTCTGAACAATTACATGCTTGTCGGTATGTTACAAGTAATGCTGCGGCGTGTAACGCTGGTATCTCACCTCGGCCCACTTGGCCAATGCCTCCGGGTTGCGATCCCATGGAATCTGCACGCACATAGGGTTTCCAATCATCGTGTCAAAGTTAGGGTTATTTGTGGCCACAGTGTAGAAGAACTCTCTCCATAGCAACTGACCATGTAGAGCCAAAGGTGGTTCATTACCTTTCTTCACCTGAAACAGTTCCAAAGTGAGTATAGGCTGGGTGGCAGGGACGGTGGGTGAGTGTGGGGAGGAGCCATATATTCAATGTTAGGGTGGGATTGAGGGAATCAGGAGAGGGTCTAAATATTTGACATATTATGGAAAGGTCATCAAAAGTGTGGATATTAAACCATAAAGGTTTAAGCTTTGTTTTCTTGCTAAAAAAAAGGTACAAAGACATGATGATAGCATAAAATATATCTATGAATCTAACCTAACTCAGTAGCTAGGTAATGTGTTTATGTTGCTAGTTCCATGATTAATGTGGGCTTTGCTGCGTTTTTCTGCACAGTGGGAAAGTTTTCTTTGGTAGGCCTGTTTCAGTTCTAAGCTAATAGTCAAACCTTGACACAGATAGATTTATGTAAATCATATTTTAAGCCAGTCTGCATTAGTCCAATGAATAGAGAAACTACACATCAAACACAAAATGGTTTAAGGAGAAATCACACAAATTTGTAGAACCAACTTGTTAATTCCGAGCAGGTTTCTAAATCTAGAATATGTTTTCTAGATGTTTCCAGTATTGAGGATCATTCTTACCTTCTTGTACAATTCCCTGAGTTTCCAGTAGAAGAGTCTTGGGGAGAGACAGCCAAATCTCAAATATGGACTCAGTCCTGTCTGACTGGGAAATAAGGACTGCGGACTCATCTTTGGCTTCTCAAAACTTGCAACCCATGCCTTGAAAAAAGTATTATTACTTATATATATGCATACAAACGAAAAACAGACAACCCTTGCATTAATAATTGGAGTAGACTGAAATTTTAAGGTTCTTTACACACTGAATATGTCAAATCTTAAAGTTACAGTTAAATATGCATGTTTTTGTGAGTGTGAGTGAGTGAGTTTAGTTTTCAGGCATATAGCAAGCCATTTTTTTGTGTGAGCCCGATAGGTTGCAAAGCGTCATATTTAGATAGTACTGAGTAGAGCTGTGACGATACATCGTAGTATCGATAATCATGATACTTTATCTCACGATAAATATATCGATACTTTTGTTCGTATCGTGATATGTATCGTTGACCTTAAAATTGTTAATGTTCACTAGAAATTGACGGTTATGTAAAACTTTACACGGTTACTTGCTATCAAAATATACTTTTTTTAAAGAAAATAACTAAAGATAGCATATCGTGATATGCATCGAATCGTATCGTTCCAAGATATCATGATACGTATCATATCGTGACATTTCCGTATCATCACACCTCTAGTACTGAAGACTTGCCCAACCTTTTAGCAACAATCATGTGTAAGCCCGGGGCTTCTTTTTTATAATGGTAGCTATGTCCCTGGTTTTACGCTGCTTTTAGCAATATGCCAGCAATATCACTGCGGGGACACCAGAAATGGGATTCACAATTGTAGCCCTGTGGGGAAACGGCATGAACTAGGCTACCGCCCCCATGTTTTGTGAGGCTACCACAAGGTATGTCGCCCACACTGACAATTCACAATGGAAATTGTTGCGTGGGAACCTACTTTATCAAGATGAGTATGACTACAGTAACATATACAACAGTATGGTATACGGCCATGTTTTACCTGTCTTTTACACAAGGTGGTCATACAATCTGGTTAGATGTTCTTATTTAAATTCCTTTGGGGATTTTTTTAAACCAATGAAAGCACAAATCTTTAAACATAATCCTGAAGTCTATTTCTTAATGATAATATGTGAGGAACAGTACCTAGGGTCATTATACAAAGCAGTAAATATTAGGATATTTATATGGTGCACATATCCACGCAACTAGTACATACTCGCTGGTAATTTTCCCTCGATCATTGGATGTCAATCTCAATGGCACATAATATTATCAATCTCAACTCAGTGGAGATCATACAACTCTTGCAGCCACTAGGTGCACCAAGTTATTGCAGCTTTCCCATCCTTACGAGGTAGAGCTCTTGCAACAAGTATTTGTTGTTTATTCCCGAATTCTGTAATATTTCAGCTGCATGGCAGCAGTCCATGAATAATCAAGTGGGAAGTGGGAACCACACAATCCAGTGATTGACATCATTACAATCAATCTACAATTGGGATACAATGACAATGTAACATCCAAGTGAGAAAGCCTGACCTCCAGATCCTCATGGTCACACGCAGGGACAAGCATAGGTTGACCAATTCTAATACAAACATTCATGTATAGCGGAGCATCAGATACAAGGTTCAATATGGCATGTTTTGCTTACTTTCCTTTCCAGGTGACGGTACAATCTGGTGAGGGCTTCGGACTCACCACCTCGGAATATCACGGGGTGAATGCCATCGATGTCAAACCCTGGCACAGAATCACTCAAACATTTACACCTGTTTCAACATTGTTTACAGTTGTTACCATGATTAAAAAACGTATCTGCAATCTTTATTGTAGCAAAAACAATTTCTCAAATATGTCGTTTTTCTATTGGCTAAATTATGATAGGAATCAAAAACAGATCCATTTCAACATGTTCAGTGGACCAGGAACTTACGTCTGGTCAGTGTTGCTTTATAAACAGGTGTAAAAACTGAATCCAGGTGACATATAGATTGTGTTTAAGAATACAACTGCATTGATGAAATGACTCATCAGTATTAAAGCACAGACTGAATATTTGTCAAACACTGTTTCAATACATACCAAGTTCCTCAAGTTTGAGAACACCATATTTCTCATCATGGTCCAGGGTGACTGGAGTGACAGACTGACCAATCAGGTCAGGCTTTATCGTTTCCTCGGGCATGGGGGGAGGCTTCATCTGGGCCAGAACTGACAGAAACCGCTTGTACGTGAGCGGGTGTGTGCTGTTGTTCATCTTGATAACACTGAAAATAGCATTAAAAGCACATTAAAACTTACACCTTGAACACATGGGTAGTTTGTTGCTGTTTTTGTTGATCAGAAAAAGCAGTGATCGATATTATCAGCAAAGTCTGGAAGTTGGATAACTAAATTCATTTTGTAGCATCTAGGTAGTTTGACCAACTGTAACCCCAACCAAATCTGTGGGTGGGTGGAGAGAGAGAACAGTTGCTACAATTTGATCTATTTCACAGCAACCAGATCTATGCCTTTGATCTATATCAAGTAGAGGCCAAGCTAACCAGTGGTTGAGAGGATGAGTCCAAATTCACCATAAGAAAAAGTGATGTGACAACATATTTCAGTCAAACATAGCTGTGATGAAGCAGAAGTGATTTGTAAATACTCAACGCTATCAGAGATTCTACAAAACCACAAAAAAGACTAAATACAGAAAATGCAAATACTAAGCTTTCACTTTAAGACAACCAAATGTTCGACACAACAAAAGCTAGAAACAACATTTGACTGTACTTACTCTTCAAGCTTGTAGAGTGTGTGTGAAGTTCGGATAATGACCTTGACCCCACACTCAGTAGCAAGAGAACAGATGGAAGCATCACGATCTTTTCCAAATGGCTCTGGGTCTTCTTCAAATGATAAATGAGTGATGTTCCATTCCTGCAGGAACAAAGTATATATCTCAAATACACAATTCGAAAATATTATCTTGTGAAAACTTTCATAAGCATCGGAATTAATCACAACCTCAAAACAACCCATAGTCATCAGAGAATGAACACACACTTCACAGATGCAATACCTTGATTCCTTTAAAGTGAAATTTGTTGTAGTTTGGCCACTAAATCAGTCTAAGTAAACTTAGGCTCAGTATTATTCGTTACACTGCCATACTGAATCTAACAAACTCTAGTAAAAGGTCTCGTCAGCTAACCTTTGGAATTGACCATTCAGAACACATCTTACCAAATCGCTAAAGTTAACATTCGCACATACCGTTTGAACATTTTAACCTCGAAAACTCGAACGATTCCAAATGTTATTTTCCGCACGATACCTTCCGAGTGTTACACATAGAGGATGCATTATTCACAACAGCGAGTAAATAGTCGCTGAACATAGCATTTTTGTCAATATTCCAGGACGTCATCTTGCGGAAATATAAGCTTATATCAGTGTATGAAATGAGCCAAAATCCCACCCAGACATCAGGGCTGGTAACTTCAAAATGTTACCAGCCCAAAATGGATTTAACAAGACCAGCCACGAAGATATGGCGAATTTACTCAGATGTATGGAACATGTCATCTAAGATTTTCACCAGACCATCGAGCTGGCAAGCTGTAAATTTAGACCGTCCGTCAGAAATCGAGCCCGTCTCGGGCGGTTGGACAGGCCTTATTTTATACACTGCTAATAGTAACAACATCATCAGATACCGGCCTAAGCATATACTAGTAAACTGCAGGTCAAATATCTGTGTTTTATGTGGATTTTCGTTTGTTGAGAGATCAGTGCCAGCGACAGGGAAGAGAAAATCCAAAAACCGTTTTGCAAGTCCTGCCAAACCCTAAAATAGTAGCCTTTGTCGGATTGGTTAAATCCGTTTGGCTGTCTCATGTTTGATTGGACAGTCATAGGTCGCTCAAAGTTTAGCTACGTGACCTTCTACTAGGGTTTGTTAGACTCAGTATAGCAGTGTAACGAATAATACTGAGGCTAAGTTTACATAGACTGGCTACTAAATGTCATTGTTTTCAAGGACCTGTGAAGATTCGGGGTAGAATAGGTCTTCACAAACCCATGCTTGCCACAAAAGGCGACTATGCTTGTAATAAGAGGCGACTACCGGGATCGGGTGGTCAGGCTCGCTGACTTTGTTGACACGTGTCATCGGTTCCCAATTGTGCAGGTCGATGCTCATGCTGTTGATCACTGGATTGTCTGGTCCAGGATCGATTATTTACAGACCGCCATGATATAGCTGGAATATTGTTGAGTGCGGCGTAAAACTAAACTCACTCACTCACTCATTGTTTTCAAGATCCAAATTGTAAGTGCTTGGGAAGTCACAAAGGTTACTCATCATCGGTTCCATGCACAATAATATATTAATTTTTTTGTACAAAATCCTGGACAAGAAACAAAGGTTTTCTGTAATTATATTAATAATGAAACTTTACATTATAGTACACTACACCACTTGACTAAATTACAGGACCCTCATATAAATACCCTTGAAAATTGTGACTGCAGGTCCCCTGCACCCTAGTTTTCTAAGTCAAGGTAAACCCCTTTACTGAAGAGATACTGCCTATCAATTAATTCCCTGTCCATGTTAGGCAGTATTTCTAAACTAATGACCCAATGACCCACAAACAAGGAAACAAATGCTGCTATCTTACATATACACTAACCTAGTGTCACACTAACAGTGAAATTAGTGGGTCAAGTTTGTGTGCTATCAACAAACTAAAAATAGATTGTAAACGACTCTGACCCAAGCCATGTATGTTGATTGAGTGACTGTTGTTTATCTTGTGACTGACATTCAGGCGACACACACACACACACACACAACAAATAACAAGCATTGTCACTAAGGTGACATAATACCCCGCCACAAATTATCAAATCAAACTTAAAAAGGATATATAACCCGGACCTTCACGGGTGGCATAAAAAAGAACCTCAAATCTGAAAGAGTCGAATTCAAGAGTTTAGTTGCCTGTTTAACATGCATGCTTGTGTTTTGCCCTGACCAGCTGAAATTTATTTGATAGTTGTGGATAGTTATTTGAAGATTTTTTATAGATCAAATCTGCGGTTCCACTTTGCAAAACATAGTTCAAAGGCAGGATGTGGCACAATGCCTCACAGCCTATGAAAGAACATGGGACCAAATTGGGTTAGTTACAATGTAACCCATTGAGCAATTTTGTCAATGGAAAAGTTAACCATTAACCTTCTGGTCCCCAAATTTAATTAATCAGGGCATCTATCCAACATCAATCTTTTAAACTGGTCCCATACTATCACATGATCTACGTATAGTGACTTTTAGAACTGTGTTTATACTTGACCCAGAACAAAATCTGACCGAAATAGTATCTGAATCAGCCAACAGGACAGGTCTGGGTAACAAACTGCTCAATCAGGTCATGATGACCTTTGTAATGTTTATACGTAACAGAAATGTGCATCATGCCCTTTAGACCATCAGTTTTGTAGGTCAAGGTATAGGCCAACATAAGTAAAGCTAACGCTGAGCCTATCTATATCTATAACTTCAACTGACACACGCACAGAGTAAACATTCAGCAATATTGACAATCTGAGTTTAGTAAACAGTGTTACCACATTAGAATTTCATATTGGTATAGTAGTTAGTGAGTGAGTTTAGTTCTATGCCACACTCAGCAATATTCCAGCCATATGATGGCGGTCTGTATAATAATCAAGTCTGGACCAGACAATCCAGTGATCAACAGCATGAGAATCGTTCTACGCAATTGGGATACACTGACATGTGTCAACCAAGTCAGCTAGTCTGATCACCCATTTGTTGCCTCTTACGACAAGCATGGGTTACTGAAGACCAATACTAACCAGGATGTTCACAGTTAGTTGATTTAGTAATTACTAATACACATGTAAATGTTAAAGGTCACATGTAACGTAAAACACAACTTTGCAGATTCTGATACCTTTCGGTATGGACTTACAGATACAAATCATCAAAAATGCATATTCAACTTATAAAGTTGAAAAATAACGCAAAGGTAAACCCTCAAAGGATTCACTAAATTCACCCCAGCGCTTGGGGTGAAAAGTGGTTTCAACAGCTGTGCTGCGCTGCGCTCATAACGCATGCGCAGTGAAATAGGTTCACGCAGCTTGGAAGTGGGATGTCCGGATTAAAAGGTAGTGAGCAGGAGTAGTCTAATCAAAACAAATAGTAAATAATCTACTCATTACATAAAAGAACCTTGTTAGGATCTAGATCTACTCAGCTATGTGTCAACCAGTGAGGCGTTCGACATTTCAAGACGGAAAACCTTCGCTGACAGTGAATACTCGGTGAAGGCTTTGATGTGAGCTATTTTTCTAATGTTTTGTTGATATTTGTATTTTATATGTCATGAATAAGTGATAATTATGTTTTAATTATGTTTGATTTTTTGGTTGCATGTGACCTTTAACTACAAGCATAAACAAAGGAGACAGTCTAGAGCCTTCTCTGGAAAAAATTATTCTGTGACACTAATTTTTCATCTGAAACCTTAGTAACTCAAGCAGTATCTGAGAATACTTCTCCCCATTCAGACAAAGCACTGAGTAAAATATCATCAATCTACTAAGTGCCATAACTGTGTATGCCAAAGATCAAGCAGGTGGAAAGAGAAGTAACTTTGGAAAAATATTTACCACTTTTCGAACTCAGGCTTGATGATTATGTCTTCAATAAGCTAGTGTAACTTGCGTAAATTGGTCTCCATTTCACATAATATGCACAAAGCTAAAAAGTATGGAAAAAGAACTATAACCATAACTGTTAAAAATATTTTAAGACATCAGTTTTCAAACTCATTTATTGCTAAACAGAGTTCAGGAGACCTTTGTTTTCTCTTTCTTTAGATTCAGTTTTTTAATCCAGGGCCCACCTATACCTTAACTTTAAACATTGTGCTTATCACACCTATCATTCTATTAAGGAGCCTTTGACTACCATGCACGCTTCCAACATGAAAAATCAATAAAGATCCAGGTTAGCATTGGTCTTTGGCAACCTATAATTGTCGTCAGAGACAAGTAACGTGATCAGGTGGTTAGACTCGCTGACTTGGTTGACACGCCATCATATTCTAATTGCATAGATCAATGCTAATGTCGTTGATCACTGAATGCCTCATCCAGAGCTGATTATTTACAGACTGCCGCCATATAGCTGGAATATTGCCAAGTTCACTGTTAATTAACAAACAAACACTACAAAACATGAACTTCAATCATTCTTACTTTGAAAACTTTAGGAAAGACCTCTGTGGGTTGACCCCGGATCACAAAAAGACGTGATCCCAACTGCCGTAGACTCTTGTCAAGATCTTCCAAGCACTCCAACAAGAACCTGAAAAGAAACAACACTTTACCCACAAGCAGACATTGGTAATCGTAATACACGATCATGCTGATAATATTCTAGAAACAGTGTCTTCAGGCTTGCTCTTGACTTGTGCTTGGTCCCTAGGAAGTGTATATTATTATTATTATTATAGGATATTTATATAGCGCACATATCCATGCACTAGTGCATGCTCAAGGCGCTGGTATTTTCCTCCTCGATCATTGGATGTCAATATCAACTGCACATCGTATTAGCAATCTCAACTCCCTGGAGAGTATACAACTCTTGCTGCCACTAGGCGCACCGAGTTATTGTGGCTTTCTCATCCTATATATGCTCACTATTGTTCTACGTCATTTGTTTAACTATTTATTCAAGATACAATTTGTGACGTCCATTTCTGGAGTCCCCTGTTGGGATATTGCTGGAATATTTTAAAAGCAGTGAAAAACCACACTCACTCACTGAACATTTACACACAAGACAGGGATTGGTAACTATGGCAAAAACTGTTACAGGTATAAAATGTATTGAAAGATCAGTATTGTTTGGTAAAGTAAGGTCCACGAGGGTGTCCCCTTGTCTTCATCAATAGAAGCGGTGGATAGCTTAGTGGTAAGAACGTCCACTTGCCACACCAGACACCTGGGTTCAATTCCAACATGGGTACAATGTGTGAAGCCCAATTCTAGTGATATTGCTGGAATATTGATAAAAGCGGTGTAAAGACCAACACACCCACCCACTCACTATTTATGCAGGCATAAGCAGCACTTGGATTTGGCCTAATGGACATTCAGGGTTGTTGTTTAAGCAGACTTTCTCACAAGAATTGTCCTCAAACCATTTAAAAGCTTTGCCATCTAATCACAGACTGAAAGCATCTTTCTTGCTTCAGTTGTAAACTTTCATATTTCACTGGCGATTCACTGCAATCACTCCTATTTAGCCTATTTGTGTGTTCCCCCTGATACAGTGAAAAGAAACTAGACTGACCCTCGTTCCTAACTTTGGTCATCCCACACTCCTTGTTCTCGTATGGCATTTTGAAATGAACAGATGTGCCAACAGTAGACGCTGCAAAACAATCTAACTCCAGTGTTCGTGGTAGGAAAAAAAGCTTTGCGTTCCTAAAACGCATAGCCCCAACAATCTTGGGTGTGATTTGTGACTCAATTGTTATGTATTATTGCTTATTCAATATATTAATATTGAATATCATAGACTTGTCTGTTCTATTTTGCTGGTTTAAAGGGGACCCACAAGACTTTTGTCATGCTAATTTCTGTACTGTAACAATACTCATAGCAGAAGATGGAAACAGTTCATGTACCTCTCCTCATGAGTTGCAAGGCCAATAGAATTACAACTTTTCATGCACCAAGAAAATAAATTGAGCATGGTATGGAGAACTTAAAGCATCTCCGACATCTTCCACTGAAGCACTCAGTCTGACCACTCTTCTCGTCTGGGGATGATGAAGCTGATTCTACTATCTCAGTTTTCACACACACAAATATCTTGACGTACGTATCGTTTAGCTGTCAAACTTGTGATCTAAAGTCGATAATCGGTTATGGTTTAGGAGGTCAATTCCCAACACTAATTACACACACACGCTTAACATGAATGATGATTGTCCTGTTTTTGACCATGAACGTGATCAGTACTCAGAATTTGATAATCTGACATCCTCTTAAATCCAACAATTTGCTGAGCAACGGACGATGTCGGATTAACGAGACTTGACTGTAGCATTCAATAATTATTCATCATCATAATTCTTAATACTCTTAATTCTGTAATTCTTCTAAAATGTTCTCTCAATATACAGAGAGAACCTCTTAAATGTTTATCAAAATTATCAAAATTAAGTTTTCAATTCTAAATAGTCTGGTTAGAAAATACTCATTCAAACATACTTAATAGGCCCAAAACTGGTAATTTTATCCATATCAGCTTTATTTTCAGTGATGATCAGGGTGCTGCTGTACAAAGCAACTTTAGCAACAAGCAAATCAACCTAGAAATATTGTCAGTTTATGTTAATGCAATATAGAGTTACCCTCACCAAAGTGCTAAGATGGCTTTGTACAATGGCATCAAGGCTGCATATATTCTGCTTGTGAAAGCCATTATTGCAACAGACTTTTCAAGAAAAGTCTTGCTTTCAGAGTTTTAATGAAAAATAACCCTGAACAAATTAACACTAGATCATGTATTTTAAGCACAACTAGATGACAGATTATTTACCAAAAATGAAAAATTATTAACAATGTGATGAAGCAACAGAAATCCATGTACTTTCTACTCCAGATCAGTCACCCTTCAGCCCACGATTGACCTTTGCAAGTACAACTATAAAGAGGATATTCCATTATTAATGGATATATGTCAAAAACTGAATCATATTTACACAAGAAAAACAGGCATAAGAACATTCCTTGATAAAACCATGGAAGTATAAAATAATAATACACAATAGTCCGAACACTTTATATTGGCCTTGACTTTGATCATAATAAGGAAAGCATATTTTATGTTAAGGATGGGGACAAGACAGTAATGTCAACCTTGAAATAAATAATCAACCAATCAGAAGCCAGGAATGTAAGCCAAGTTCAGCTTAATGAAATCAATGAGCAAATGTCATCTAAGAAATCTCAAACAAACACAATGATGATTTTTAAATGACTTGGATTTTTTGGATTATCGTCTCTACTGGGCTACTGTACATAGACTGAGGATCTCGTTTGACACACATAAATCGTTCGTTTATTAATTACGCACTTCTAAGGTCTGGCCTGTTTACATATACCGGTAATGTCCGGTATATCAATCGAATAATATATAATTCCGCAATGTAGTTTTGAATTCTATTCGATTCACTGACATCCGAGGTTCTTCACTTGTACATTCATTAGTTCATATGAATAAACTCGTATTCCAGCCAATTAATATACAAGGCCAACATCGAGCACACCTTTGCAAAGTCGTCTAGTTATAATATGCTGGACTAGTACATTCATATGCTAGGGCCTAGGCATGTACCCATATTTAAAAAAAATAAAATTTTAAATCCAAAAAACATGTTCAAGTTAACTGCCTGGGCTCAGACGTTATGCAATGTGTACAAGATCTCGTTAATATTCATGAGGTTGACATTGGCCTGGTTTATAAATAGAACTAAGTTATGACAGCAGGCGGAAAATGGATGCGAGTCTCTTTTTTTCATCACACAGAGTAAAAACACAATTTTTCGATTAAACTTACCTCCACTTATTAATTCCAACTTGAGAAGCCCCAGCAAACCATGGGTCAAGTATATAAATACACCGATATGAAGTGGAATCCTGAATACCTTCTCGCAACGCCGGATTGTCGTGTAAGCGGAGGCCTTTTCGAAACCAGTGTACAGTATTCTTCCTTGGTCTTGACATAATTGACTGCTATGAAATTCACAAATTTCTGATCTCAAGTCATATCGTTTGAAGTCTTCGTCTTTTCGATATGAAGACAGGTAACTACAGGTCAAAATCAAGTATCTCTCACACCAATTCCACACAGCTCATCGCACATTCAACGATACAATCAATACACTGGCTTCTGATTTGCTTAGAGTGGTCATGTGGTCTATTCCGCCTCACGTGTACGGCAGCATGGTTTATAAAAGATTTTCTGCGCATCTTATGCGCAACAACAAAGGGAGTTAATTCACACGTCACGTTTTATTACATTCGTATCTACTGGTGTCATTCCGGCAAGCATGATGGTTTTATTATAGATAAACAAAATGTGCCCTGGCATGATTGATTGCTTTACTTTTGCTTGTAAGCCAATTGTATTGTACATTGCAGTCATTCCACCAAAATGGTGGCAATTGATGTTTATCCATGTCTCCAGCATACATACGGTAATAGACATTTTTAAATAAACAAGAAATTGGTTTGAGGGGAATTTTGTTTAGGCAAGGCTGACTAGAAAACAAAAACAGTTTCACTGCTGTTTGTTATCAGTGCCAGAAAGTAGTCATAATAAGTTCAAGACATTAAAAATGCAATGTCGCCAGTAAATGTCTTTATTTATATAAGGCGCAGTGCTGTTGTTGTAATCGTTAAAGGGCCACTGATGCAGATCACATTAATTTGCGACTCGCGGCGCGCATGCGCTGAGCGTGTAAATAAACCCCTTGCGTGCTTCCGGTTTAGTTGTCGATCACTCCGTTATCATGAATTTGACAGATCAACAGCGTTCTCCTCGGCTCTTAAGAAAAGGCAATCGACTAGCATGTCGTTGTTGTGCTCCAGGCAACAGTCTAATTACGAAACCTAGCTGCAAACTGGTCAGCCCCTGCTCCCTCGACCGTGACGGACACGGGGACTTGGCTACTGTCCACCTTGGCAGAATTTCTTCAACCTTATCATTGGGACATTAGGAAGGGTGGATGCCCATCAGATGGATATTTGAAAATATCCCCGGTAGTTCTTGTTTGATTGTGATAAAGTATCCCAGCAGTGTAGGCATTTTCAGATTTACAAATGTTTGGATGTGCATTTAATTAAGTTTCAAAATGCATACAAATATGATAATAAACTAATTAGGATTATAATACAAAATATAAAGACGTACATTGACTTCGTTATTTCAGTCCTAACATTTTTTACCACTGGCAGATGGTTAAACTTAAAATGTTTTCATTTGTTATCAAAATAATGCCATTTAATACAAAATTAAGATTGACTAGTAGTGAAACCAAGCTTACTACTCTCCCCAAGACTCCCCCTCCCCCTCCCCTCTTACTTTCAAACAATGCTATTATTCAGGCTTCTCACCAAATTCAAGGTCAAACTATTTCTTAAATCAAATTCTACATCCATTTACGTTAACATTTTTATAAAGTCAACATTACTATGAAATCAATTTTTTTTATAAGAAACCAAATTATTCATCACAGTCTACATAATTTTACAACATCAAGATTATCGAGTTAAAAAGATTTCATCTTTGTTGATCAGTCTATACGTTTTCTATCAATTGTGCGCATGGTGGTGGCGCAACAGAGGTAACGAACCAGTCATGAATTTCTGGGATATCATCCGGGTACTCACGGGAGAAAAACAATAACAAAAGCAACAACCAGTCCACGGAAATTGCTCTGCATCAGTGGTCCTTTAAAATTAATATTATGTCTTGGAGATAAATATATTAAATTTCTTCGAGAAAAAGTTCAACCACAGTGTACCAAATCCAAACTCAAATATTTCTGGATGTTTTCATGTCGCCAAAACTCGTCTAACCTACGTAACGTTTTAATTATCACCAGTGACTTCAACATACAGCCAGAAATATTTGCATTTTTCATTCAGAAGGTTTAAGAAATAGTCACTGAATATATATTGTTAGCGTTAATGTCAACATAACACATTATATATCTTTAGCATCGCGTTAGACCTGGATTTTGTGAATGTCGCATTTAAGGACCTAACCTCCATAACATGTGTTTCATCCTGTAAACATTCATTTAGCAAAGACTGAATTTACTCAATAAATAATTGATGAAAGAGGATTTAAAAATATGTAACTTAAACGCGCACATGATGACAGGTTTTTAATTAGATGTCTGTGATGAAAACAATCCTAACCTCCATAACGGTAATGTATATAGCAAAGCGGACATTGTTTCAGAGGGTGCTTCACATGTGCTATGGACACATGATGGATGTTACGTTTGTCTGGTTTTGATAAAACAGACAATTTTAATAATTCAAATTCTAGTGTAACCTCCGTAACGTGTTGCAAGTTACAGCATATATTGCTTTGTAGCTTTTAGAATTACAGTGATATTGCCTTTTCTGAGATATTACATTGATATTTTTGTATTGTTTCATGTTTATGCTTATATTTGAGAACTTAATGTCAAATTATAACCTCCGTAACAGGGAGACATCTACTAGTATGTAAATTTGGCATTACTGATCATGCCGTTTGTTTTGCAGATGAGTAAACTGTGGTATTCTTAAAGTTCAGACATGTGAAATCTTGATAAAGTTATTGTTTTGACTGATTATGGTGTATGTTTTATACAAACACATTTGGAATGAAACATTTAATTTCCGTGTAGTTTTCATCAGACACGAATGTTTTCACTTAACAGTATCTGATTATAAAAGATCGAGGTAAACGGCGACTTGTCAGGACGAGGCTCGGTTCCCGCCATCCGCTATGACAAAGTCTCATGATATTAGGAGTAAGTATTGCAATAAAAAGGGGGAATTCCATAGTAATTCCTGTAATATCATAATTCCCCTTCCCCACATTGGGAAACTTATTTTCCGAATGTTGAGCAACGTTCTAACAAGGACGGGCCTCTAGGAGTGGTAGGGTAACCGGTTATGGTTTGGACAATGAGGAAGTTGCGTGGTTAGCGCTCGTATTTATAGATATCGTGACGTCACCCGCCACGGACGAGTGGTGTGTTGCCCCGAGAGCAGCGCAGCGTAGCGCTAGAACCATATGGCTGGGAAAATCTTTACGTTTGTTTCCCGGTTCGGGGTAACACATTTCGTGTATTTTGTAAGTTTGGCTAGTATGGGCAAATTGAAAAGAACTCATGATATTATGAGTAAGTATTTCATAAAAACAGGAATTACTATGGAATTCCCCCTAAATATGAACCCCGAAATTTTTAGCCCTCGCAGGTTATAAATACCTTGATACGTTTATGCATATTTACGGAAACGTAGCCGAAGCAAGACATTGTTTTACAGGCTCGTGAGCTAGAATAATGACGGAATGGAAAGTTATTTGGTGGAATTTCGCAAACGTGTCTTCTATTTTACAGCATGAATTTTTGGTGACAATGTGGCTTATAAAAATAAGATATTGACAATTTTCCTACACCTAAAAAATAAAACTTGCTCACCTCTCGCGTGTAAAATCGTTCATTTCCTGTTATTAAAATATTACCCGCCGTCCACAGCTACTACCGTGTGCAACGGTGCGTCTAAAAAAGGCGTCTTAATAATTGCTTTTAAAGATCACATATACTCTAGGGGGGTACAAACACATAAATCATTTATTGGCATCGTTATAAATGAAACCCCGTCATTAAAACTACTCATTTCGACATTTAATTAACTTAAATCGACCTTTTTGACAACAGTGCACAATTCTCGCCCGCCAACGAAATTTCAACCAATCAGAGGGGCGCGTCTCTGTAGAATTCATGTACATTTCTGGGGGGATATTATCTTGTTTACAGGTTTGTCTAAACCTGAAACCTTTTAATCATGAAAGAATAATATATTACATTGTGTAATCTATTAGTCACATGATCATAACGGGTCCTGGTTTTGAGACCGGTACCCAGGTCCAACTCATTAACCACCCCCTATATATATATAGGTTACCCAGACCTACTATTTAGGTTTGTTTTCACCGAGTTACAAAATCAAAGCTACTTTCTACTGGTAGTAAAATATGTATTTGATTGATGGCCAATTGGACTTTGTATGACATAGCGTATAACATAACAATTTCTCTCTTGGAAGCGAAGCGGGTGTCAATATAATACTACTTACAGTATTATATTGTCACTTCGACCACAACCTCGCTTCCGAGGAAGAAATCGTTATGTTACAAGTTGTGTCATGGAAAATGTTTTTGGTCATCAATCATATACATATTTTACTACAACTAGTAAGTAGTTTTGATTTTTTTAACTGGATGAAAACGTCGAAAAATCAGCAACATGACGAGCTTGTTACACACCTCATATACAACTAACTGAAAATCCTTCCTCACATGACGTCACTTCCGGTTCGCTGCAGTGCCTCTGGCGACAGAGTTACGTAACCTGTATGGGGTTTCGTTGACGGGCGAGAGAGAAGCAGACGACCTTTGGGCAACTTATAATCGCTCTGTTTTAATTAACCACAAGTTTTTTAAGTTTGAATTTGTGTTCCGCTTAAGACTAACCACAAGTATTTCATATGTAATGGTTAAAAGAGTACAAAAAACAACAGTTTATTCGTTCTTAAACAAACACCTGTTTGAAAACACTCCCCTTGTTGATGTCAGGGAGTTCAGCTTGAAGTGCCAACCCTCAAGGTGGTTGTTGGTCCTGTGGCCGTCATTGGCGAAGTGGTTCCATACAAGCTTCTCCCACAGCCCTCCCACATCTACCCAGGTCGTTGTCACATATAGTCCATGAACTTCGAGCTGGTCTCATCCAGTGGAGCTTCAGCAATAGCGTCTAACCAGACATTGTCGACTTGATCTAGGGGTGCAAGTGATGGGTCTTTCCTCTATGGGCCCGTTGCCTGAAGTCTGAAGTGCCTGGGCGTAGTGGAAGTAGCAGCCACGGATTTCCACTCCATCAAAGACAGCAAGAGCAGCGTTGGCGACAGCTGTCTACAGTCTATTTGCAGAATTTGCGGCTGGGGATTCAGATGAAGTCGCTTTGTCTCAGTCTTCAACAACTGGAATGCTGTGGTGTAGGTTGCCTGGGACTTGCTGGAGAGAAGCATGTACACAAGAGGATACACGATCCCTTGTACTTCGGCGTGGATGGTGTACGTCTGCAGGAACAGTCTGGGTGAGGAGTAGAAGGT